TGAGCGTTCACTCGGCGTGTGCAGGGACCCAAAGGCAGGGCTCTTTGGCTGAGGAAACCCGTTATTTTTGTCCCTATATTTTGATACGGCATATACGCCAAAAATAAAAAAAAAAAAAAAAAAAAAAAAAAATCAGAGAAAAAGGCAAGTCTCTAATTCTTGAAAGAAACACTGCTTTCCTGTCCTCCATTTTGGTCTCCACAAAGCAAGAGCCATCTAGAACGTCTCTTCACCAAAATACCCCAAATCAGAATCTTCAATTTTTTTCTAAATAATTTTTATATAGCTATTCGGACACACAATAAAATTTAGACTTGCTGCTTTCTCTAAACAATAGACCATGAGATATATAGAGTGCAAAAATTGAACTGCCTTAAGCCATCTTGGCTGACCACATTTATCTCTGGACAGTCTTCAAGTAATTTGTCTTCTGTAAAGAAATATGAAGTATTAGAAGAGCCTCAGACCACCTGCCACACGGAAATTCTACTTTTTTTTTTTTGAATGATTAGAGAATGCAGTTACACCGAACGTGAAATAACTCAAGAACTCCACACATGACAGATTCTTTTGCAGAGAAATTTACCCTATATTTTTTAAATCTTCAAATATTTTTTGAAATGCTAACATTTCTTCTGTTAGTCTCATTACGTAAATAATCCTTTCAAAATCTAGTTCCTATAGCTACTCACATAACCTAATTAATATCAACGGATATTCTGTAATCCTGTGGATAACAAGATCTGTGTTAAGTCCCATTTTATCCATGAAGATCTTGGCAGGTGACCAGCAAAACTCATTTCCTTAGGAAGTTTCCATTTTGTCTATTTTAATGAAGAGGTACACAGTAATTGTAAGCACATTTCCAGGAAACTGCAGGCATTCCAGGCATGTATAAATTCCAAGCTATCAATTTTGGTCAGTGAAAGAGAAAGAAATTAAGTATTTCATCTTTTAACTTTAAAGTTGAACTTATTTAAAATATCACTAAATTTTCACAGTGATACACAGATGACACGCATGCTGAAACGTTGAACAAATAAATAAATAGGAAGGAATCTCAAAGTCCCGGAAAGTTGAAAGTGAAGGAAGGGAAGAGTCTTATGATCAGGAAGAGTAGCAATATTCTACTGTCTAAGGACAGATTGACTCTTGTAGATGTAGAGTCAATTTCAACCTTGCTTGGAGTCTTTTAAGCAAGTGACAGAAAGATTTCAAAAGGACAGATTCTCAGTCACAAAGCAAGAATGTATCCTCTAAGTACAGTACCCTTTAAAAGAGGGCTGGAAGAGATAAACTTCATAAAAAGCTATGCATACTTCATCATAAATGCTCCCATTGATATCTGCTCCATAAATTGGTGCCACAAAAGTCAAGTTCTTCCAGTATTTACGCTCCAGATCTTCATAATCTACGTATCTTGGGGTGCAGTATCTGCAGAGGAAGAGGTAGGCAAAGGTTCAGCATAGTCTTTCAACAACCACCTTCACAATGGACTATGCTTCTAATCCTGCAAACTGAATTTTAAGAGTTCACTTTAGCTCAAATTCACTGAAACAGAGGAATTATTAGTTGTCTTGAATTCTTAGTTTCATGATTCACCATGGCATGTAACCTTCTACCTGACAGCTACAGTAACTGAAGTCATACCCCTATCCATACAACATTTTCTTCAGTCTGCAGCAGCTAAACAGAACTTCTACTCACTGTCCTCAGGCTGAGGCACTCCCCTTTGTTTCTCCTCCATGAAACAGACACACATGGAAAAGGCACTTAATTGACAAGTATTTGTTATTTTCCTGCCTCACGACAAGCTCTGCAAAACAGACACAGTTCTGAGACAGGCTTTGTGTAGGACCAACTCAAATGTACTAATTCTGCCAAGTAGCAGACCTGCCAGGCAAAAACAGTGCTTTCCCTTCCCCAGAGAAATCTTTTGAGAAAAGGCATAAAATGTTTCAAACAGTTGATAAAATTAAGTAGACCAGGTACATTTAAATCACAAAATAACACAGAAAAGAGACAAGCAAGTTAGGAAAACACATCTTAACCAAAGACTTCTCAGCAATGGGGTTGTGTCAATTACTTGTCATATTGGCACTGAGTAATGTGGATACATAAACTCAGTTACCATAACACAAGTATCTTGATATACTTGTGGGAGGGGAATACAGGTATGTCCCTGTTTCACAGAGGTCAAGGTGGAGAAGCACCTTGGTTCAATGGTGAATGGCAAATGCTTAAACAAATAAAAGATGCAATGCATTAGACTGAGCACTCACAATGCTTTTAAAGGCAAGTATGATATAAATTAGATGTTCATGGCCCTTCTCTCTTTCCCAAAGGAAATGGGTAACACCACAATACTAAAGAAAAGACTCTTTAACAGAGAAGTCTTCTTCATTAAGGAACAAAATTACATTTACAGGAGAATAGCTCCTCTCATCTACTTAATAGTTTAAGAAACATGGACTGCATTAAGAGTGTTATTGGAGTTTATGTGACATATTTTCTCAAGAGCACTGATGAACATTTAGAAGGACCCACAGCTTGTAAAAGGTAAGAAGCCCTTCCAACTGTTCTTCCCTTTACCTATCAAGTTGTAAACTGATTTAGTAAAATACATGAAAACTAAAATCAAAAACATTTCCAAAATATCTTCCATGATAAACAATAAAGTAAACTTAACTAACACCATGATATATACTAAAGTCTTCACAGTATTTCTGCATTATCAAATTATTTTAAAAAATCAGTGTTTCTCATTTTATCATGGGTTAATCAAATATAAACTTTAAACACATATGGACAGGTATCATAGAAACCGGCATCAGATACCATACAGGTTTTATATTGTATTCCTCCCTCTAACAGTTATGAACAAATAATTTTAAGAACTACAAAATCAGTTCCCATTCCCAGTTACCAGAGGAAAAAAACTGTGTGATAACATCAGTTTTTCACAAGTAAAGTATGGGCAGAAACATACTGATCTTTTTTAATTGAAAAAAGGAGATCAGTTTTGCATTTACAAAGGTGTGGATATTACGGAATACTTGCTGAGGAGCCTCTTAAACAGCTTTTCATGGCCTACTTTTTCCTGATCTTGATAACAGCTTCTCTTCTTACCTCTTAATTTCTTAATTTAACTTAAAAGAAAATCTTTCCTTCAAACTAGGACAGCATTACCTACCTTCATTATATTCAAATATCGTTTCTCTCTAGGATTCTTTGACTCACCTTCCAGAATCTATTTCCAGTCAGTTTTGAGGAAATACTGAAGGATAATTTATTCTTTTTATGTGCCCAAAAAGGAATAGGTAATAATTCCTTCACTTCCCTCATCTTGGAATTCCTACCAATTTGAACCTTTTTAATACTGCACCTAGCCCTTCACAGACTTTTTTCCCCTCCCTTAATATCCATCTTGCCATAACCAGAACATGCACATTCGCTAGGAGCAGTTGAGTTCTCTGAGATTAATGCAAAAACTTCTGGGCAAGTTAAGAAATATGTTGTTTTTTTTCAGCACTACATGATGATAGGACATGCCAGTATTTAGGCCAAAAAAAAAAAAAAAATCAATATTAAACATTAATAAGTGTACTCAAAATAAAACTCAGGTATAAGTCTGTCTCATCTTCATTATTTTCAACATAAGCATTTGTTACAACCATAGAATAGAATCATAGAATCATATTGTTTGGAAAAGGACCTTTAAGATAATCAAATCCAACCATTAACCTAACACTGTCAAGTTACCACTAAATCATGTCCCTCAATACCACATCTACACATATTATAAATACCTTCAGGGATGGTGATTCCACCACTTCCCTGGGCAGCCTGTTCCAATGCTTGACAACCCCTTCAGTGAAGGAATTTTTCCTAATATCCAATCTAAACCTCACCTGGAGAAACTTGAGGCCACTTCCTCTCATCCTATTGCCTGTCACTTAAGAGAAGAGACTGACCTCCACTTCGCTACAATCTCCTTTCGGGTAGTTGTAGAGAGCGATAAAGAATAGAAAGAAAAAAATATAGGCAAAAAGCATCATGTCTCAGGCTTTTCAGATGCTTTCTTGCTGCCATGGTACTACAAGTCTTCAATAACAGAAACAAGATTCATATTGTGGTATTCTTCCACAACTTAGGAGACAGGAAAAGCTCTACTGAGTAAGTTAAAAAATCACTAGCTGCCTAGCACAATTCAAAGAAACCACACTACGTGAACAAATAAATATTTGTCTTCCTAAGCAAGTTCTCTCCATATACGTACTTGTCACTGTTGGCCAGCTGCTTGAACTCCTTTACTGTCATTGGCTTTTTCTGAATGTTGTACTGTGTGAAGAGCCCCGACTGGCCAGTGACCATCTGCTGAATCGGAGCAGGAATCACCAGATCTTCAATATCATCATAATGCTTTCTTGGCTTCCACTCCTTTGGTGGGATAACCTTCAAATTCAGAAATAAAAAACAGGACATCAACAGTTGCAATACCAATCAAAACTTTCTGCAAAAATTCTAAGAACCAGTTAAATATGCCCACATTGTCAAATAGGATTTGCTTACCTGCTGTTTCCCAATAACTAACTGGGCACGTATGTGCTCCTAGATAATACAGAAACCAATTCAAAACAGGCATAGTATCGCCTCAATTCAGATGCACCAACTCACTCACCTACAAGAATTCAATCATGTGCAACTGTGCAAACATACACACGTATAATAACTGAAATATTTTATAATCAGAGCCCTATGATTCACAATTTCTTCATATTCCATGATATAAAAATGTTATCCTCAATTTAAAAATAATAAAATAGATTCATACAAAAGAGTGACATTCTCCTGTCTAAATGTTATTTGGTGTAAATAGCATGAATAACTTAATTTCTTACTGAAAAATGAAAAAAAATACAGCTATTTCGGAGAGCTTTAGATTTTAGAGTCTGTTTAACTTACTCCCCATAAAACTTCAAGGTACAATTCTATTAGAGTAAAAGTTAGCACTAATACAGACATACTAGTTTTTAGATTAACATGATTTAAACATCTTAATTAAACTATGTACAGATTAACCAATTGTAAAGTTGACACTTTTATTTCAAATACCACAGAAATGTCCAAAGTCTAAAAAAACTCCACAGCAGATTCTAAAGTGTCAGCAATAAAGTCATTAGGAATTTCAAAGAAGCCTGTAGTCATACTAGTGTTTTTTAACAGATTGTGTAATTTTGAACATTCCTTGCATATATTATTTTATCTGAAAACAAAAAAACACTCTAGATTTGAAATTGCAACCACTTTAAAACACAGTTTTTGTTCTGGTTTTGAACTTTTACTTGCCAAAAGACTCAGTGATACGTTCTTTGATCCTTGATTATAGTCATTGTTTCCCTTATTCGCTTATTGCTCAAATCAAATTTTCACAATTATTGGCTTGGAAACTTTTAAAGCAACATAAAATAAAGTAGGATGGCTTTCATAAATATGCATCTACCACATACAAATTACGTTACTTTAATAATTAATTCACATCTAAAAGATAGCCTTTACACTAGGCTAGCAAGGCTGTTCCTCTAATAAGCATTTCAGGATTCCACACAATGCTGATCCTGAGAGCATTTGCTGACTTTTCAAAATAATCACAAATGGGCGAACACAAATGGGCTAAGGTACTCAAAAGTCCATCCCTCAAAGAAATCTGATCAAGACCATCCATGCTAGCAAGCACACATCAAAACAGAAACACCAAGCTGAAGATGTTGTCAGATAGTAACATACTTCCATACCTAATGTTTTTACTTTAAACATAAACAGGCTTTTTTATCCAGTTTTTAGATAGATGCAACTCCCTCTTTTCATTTTTTCCTTCTCAGCTTCCATAGGACTTCAGTTGTACAGGAACTACTTAGCAAGTTTCAGTGTTGTTTGCTTTTAGAGAAAAAAAATAATCGAATCATCTTGTGATTCCTACTTACTTCTTTCACACAAGTCTTAAATTATATGCACATAAAGAAAATACAAAATATTGATTTGGAAGCAGAGAAGTCATGCATTCAGAATATATGCATAGAAATCAAATATGTGCACAGAGATTTCCATTTTCATGATTATTAAGCATGAACTTGTAGGTTTGGCTCAAACATATGAATACTAAAAAGCAAAATTTGCATTATCTTATTTAATTCAAGGTCAGTGTGTTTTAAGCAACAGAAATACTTTCACAAATACAGGTTCAAAATATCCCCTTCTAGGTAACCGGAGCATGTTTATTACTGTTGTAATTAGACTACTGGTTAGAGAAGTAAATTCTGTGAGGACTGATATGCTAATCATCATTTTGAAAGAAAAAAAAAAAAAAAATAGTCCCTGCCCCATTTGCATTTCCTAACAAAGGTCAGGGAAAGGATTGGAGATGTTAAAATAAATGTTAAAATAAAATAAATGTCCAAAGCGACACACAGCTACTCAGTATCAGAGCTGGAAATAACGACTCAGTCTCTGAGTTTTTACCACTGACCTGTCCCACTGAAGTCTCTTCACATTTCCTTTAGTAAAAATAACCTCTTCAGAGTGAGGCAAGTTAGGTTTATTCCATGGAAGCAACCTAGATCGAATTCATCAACAAAGCTATCCAATGCTCAAATATAAAAAAAGGAAAAACCTAAGGCAAGGCTTTCTCATTTATATATCTTTATATGTATCTCAAACATCTTAAGCACATCAACACTGCCTAGTATTTAACGTGATATATATTCAGTTTTAGATAGGGATTTCTTAATTATAAACTAGCACTGAGTCTCCTCTGTGAAGGCCACACATTAGTATAACTGAGGTCATTTCAGAGTCCTATCGATGCATAAATCACTGTTAAATCCCCTTTCATATACTAGTAAGCTCCTGTTCTACATTTGATCCTGAATGGCACTGGCTACTATTTCTATGTAGCTACTTCTGCCCCAATTCTTCTGAAAACTGTTTTTATTGTACTTGCCAACATCTACTTTCAGTATCATGTTCCAAAATTACTTTTCTACTTGCCAATGCGACTGCAAATTAATTTAACTATTTTGCTCTATATAAATGCAGTATGAGTCTCCAAAAGACTTCTTATTCAAGCAAAGAACAACTACTCTACCCGTCTGCCTCTTTTTTCATTTGCTCTATTGCATTCATTCCTTATTTCCCTTTTTAAGTATAGGATACTTTGTAACAATTAGACAAAAATACATTCTCTATTCCTAAAACTCATTCCAGACTTCCAAAAGCCTAATGAAAAATTTTTAGCAAAAAACTTTTAGCTAGGAATAAGGATGTGAAGATTACAGCAATATTATAGAAATTTAAAATTATGCAACAAAGGCAAAACCGTTTCACATTTTCTTCTTCCACATTCTTAACTAATGTTACTATGCCCATTGCTCTCCTCTGGACATTCTCAATGGTTCTGGCTCTTTTCTCCTACACTGGCTGCACATGGAAGTTTAATTACAGAATCACAAAATGGTAGGGGTTGGAAAGGACCTTTGTAGATATCTAGTCCAACACCCCTGCCAAGCAGGTTCACCTCAAGCAGGCTGGACAGGAACTCATCCAGGCGGGTTTTGAATATCTCCAGAGAAGGAGACTCCACCACCTCTCGGGGCAGCCTGTCCCACTTCTCTGGCACCCTCAAAGTAAAGAGCTTTTTCTGCATGTTCAAACAGAACTTCCTGTGTTCCAGTTTGTGCCCACTGCCCCTTGTCCTGCTGCTGGGTACCACTGAGAAGAATCTGAAACCATCTTCTCGACACCCGCCCTTTACATATTTATAAGCATTGATAAGATCCCCTCTTAGTCTTCTCCAGGCTAAAGACCCAGATCTCTCAGCCTTTCCTCATAAGAGAGGTGCTCCAGTCCCTTGATTATCTTTGTAGCCCTCTGCTGGACTCTCTCCTGTACTTCTCTGTCCTTCTTGCAATGGGGAGCCCGGAACTGGACACAGTACTCCAGATGTAGCCCCATCAGGGCAGAGCAGAGGGGAATAACAGCCTCCCTTGAACTGCTGGCCATGGTCTTTTTAAATACAGCCCAGGATATCATTGGGCTTCTTGGCGACAAGGGCACATTACTGTCACATGTTCAGCTTGTCCACCAGGACATTGCTGGATGGCAGGAAAGGAATCAGAACCAGAATCAAGATAAGGAACCAAAACAGAACGATGACTGAAGCCATATTCATGTCTCAAAAAATCTGAAGAATCATAGAATCATAGAATCATTGAGGTTGGAAGAGACCCTTGGGATCATCGAGTCCAACCATCTACCCTACTCTACAAAGTCCTCCCCTACACCATATCCCTCAGTACCGCATCTAAACGGCCCTTAAACACAGCCAGGGATGGTGACTCCACCACCTCCCTGGGCAGCCTGTTCCAATGCCCGACCACTCTCTCTGTGAAAAATTCCTTCCTAATGTTCAATCTAAACCTACCCTGTTGGAGCTTGAAGCCGTTCCCTCTCATTCTATTGTTAATTACCTGTGAGAAGAGACGAGCCCCAACCTCTCTACAGTGTCCTTTCAAGTAGTTGTAGAGAGTGATGAGGTCTCCCCTCAGCCTCCTCTTCCTCATACTAAACAGCCCCAGCTCCTTCAGCCGCTCTTCGTATGATTTGTCTTCTAGGCCCTTCACTAGTTTTGTTACTCCCAATAAGACAAATTCATTATCTTTTTACACTTCCTACTGGCTGAAATTTTTCAAACAGGAATTCCAAGACATGGAAGAGTCTCCTTTTCAGATATCCTAAAATTCACACACAGAAATGACTAGTACCCTGGGCTCAAACCATGACATATTTCAGTCCCACAGTTAATCTTAAATACACCCACAGCCTCAGAAAGCATTGAGCACCATGTATCAGGAAGCCATTGACCAGTGTCTCCAGCTGCTTCAACCCCTGACAGAAAAGAGAAGCAGCACATAAAAAACTGACAGAGAGCAACAGAAGCTCTGAATTATTATGAATATTTCAGAAATAAGTACAGAAGCTTGCACAGGCTTTTTAAGGATTATAGTATCGTATTTGATTATATACCTCCTGAGAATTATCAAAGAGGTAAATAGAGAGACAGTTTTTAAAGGAAAATGAAATATAAGGGGTTTGGTTTTATTTCCAATTATGAAGCTTCTGGTTTTGAATACTATCGAATGAAAAGTTGTAGTCTAGGACAGACATAACCGTCATAAATAGCATATCACAAATATTCTTCTTCTTAAAAAAAAAATAGTTCATTTTCTGGTTTTTTCCAACCAAATTGCACACTAACCCTGGCTCATATAATAGCTTGCTTATACAGCCAGAGAAAGCAAGGAGTACAATTTATGCACACCTGTCTGTTTTGTATGCAACATACCAAAGAACACATTATATATGAATAAACAAATTTAAATGGAAGAAAATCAGTATCATCTCAGTGGCTGGTCATAAGGTTTTCTATTTCTATTTTTCTTTCTATTTCTTTGGCTAGATCCAAAAAATGAAAATATGAAAATAAGAAGTGTTTTGTGTTGAGTCCATATATGTAATCCACAGAGTAATACAAAGCTAGAATCTCCTTCTCACACACGTTTTAATGGCGTAAATCAGTTGAGCAACAGATGTCACTATGATGAATTTGCTGTTAAGTATACCATTTAAGATGAGAGGATTGCAACAGCTCATCCCCACACAAAAAAAAACAGGTTCCATAATACAGCTGAATACGTGAAAAATTCAGCTAAGGATTTCCTCTGCTGTCTATTTATCACATTTCTACTCCTGTTTGCAGCAAAGAGTTTGAAAATATGAGCTATATGTATTCTATGCTCAGAAATCAGAAAGCAAATAAACTACAGGGTTTTCAAAGTCTGAGGGTTTCAGTTTGGGTTTGTTTTACCAGCAGACAGGAGGAGTGGGCAGGGGAAAAAAAAAAAAAAAAAAAAAAATATCAAGAATTGCAGGTTTTGTTTCTCTTCTCTTAACTTTCAAATGTCTTGACTTTGCAATATTAACTTAAAAACCCAGTGATGCAGATGTCTATTGCCACTGACTACTTACAGTAGCTAAGGATTTCTAAACCTGCACTGTGCCCTGCTGGTTTGAACAGTGGCAAAACAGATAAGGCATAAATACTTACATGATGTAACACTAAATTACATCAGACTTAATCTCTGACAATCACCCTCCATTAGGGGAGGAGCCCCTGCTGTAAGATCCTGGATATACCATTGTCCAAAGGGCAATGCAATAGCCGTTAGTGTACCTCCAATTATCATTAACAAAAAGATAACACAATCACCATTAAAAAGAAAACCATTTCCATTCAAACAGTGCCTCGCTATCTTCATGCATACACCTATTACTACAATGGGATTATTTGCTCCAGTAAAGTTATACACAACCCTAAAAGACCAAGTTCAACATCTGGTAGATTAGGACTTTCCAATTTATGCTCCAAATTCTCTGGTTTGTTCTGATTTGCCAAAAACTAGTTTAAATCTGCCTCTTTTACTATTGTAGACGTGGAAGTATTTTACAGTTAGAGAGAAAACAGTATACATCATCTTCATTAGTTTGCATGAAACCTCATAGATACCAAAAAGCTTTCTTAAAACAGCAACAGATCAGTATTCACTGAAAATCATTTGGAAAACATTTAAATACTAAAATGGTCAGTTTTGTAATCAGTATTGTAATATGGTAAATATTGTAAAAATATTGTAAAAACAGGTATTAGGAACAATTTTCCTGCTACATTACAGATGTTTACCTTTGCAACTCCAGCCCTATGAGCACCTTGTGATTCCATGTACGCTAAGTATTTGTTGAACTCCCTGAATTCATCCATCGAAGGCCTAAAAGTCATGATTTTGCAGCTCGGGTTTGGAGGACTATCTGACATGACAGCATCCATTGTGGTTCACTTTCAATCCAGCTATAAAAAAAAAAGAATAAAAAAGTAACATACACTGAAGAGAATAATCTGTAAAACAATTTCTGAGATTCAACTTACAAATTTCAAACATGAAAAAAGCTTCCAAAATACTCTGCCCATGCTAGTATAAACAACACAAAACAAATGTTTGCTTTTTCTCCTTACCCTTTAGGAATACTGAGCCCTTACATAGCATAAGCACTATCTTGAGTGACATACCTCTGTTTTGATGGCACATTTTCTGAAGTTAACCTTTAAAACCATACTAGTATCTTACTGTGTTGATCCATCTGCAGGTTGCTGCATTTGTCTGTCTAGAGATTTACATTATACATGCACAATCCAAAGTAAAAAACTATACACTTGATAAAATACCAGTACTCCCATTTAGTATACAGAAAAAATTGATTACTCGCTTCCTACTCACACTGCAAACAGAGAAAGAACACCTGGATTTCCTAACTCTCACATCAGCAATTTTACAACAAGACCATACCACTCCTCATTTCTCTGAAACATCCTCAACAGAAGCAAAGCATCCAAGTGATACACACAAAGACAATCGGTGTTTCCTCTTATTTCCATTTCTACATTGAGAATGGCTAATCACAAAGTCATATTTCTGTTTCATACCAAGATACAGTAATCATGAAAAGACTGATCTTCAGGCAACTGACAGATATATTTCAGATTCAGCACTTGCTGAAATTTCCAACCATACATCATCATGTGCCATCTCAGCTGCACCTCAAACACTGTGTTTGGGCCCCTCACTACAATAAAGACATTGAGGTGCTGGAGCGTGTTCAGAAGAGGGCAATGAAGCTGGGGAGGGGTCTGGAGCACAAGTCTTATGAGGAGAGGCTTAGGGAACTGGGGTTATTAAGTCTGGAGAACAGGAGGACACCTTATGACTCTCTACAACTACCTAAAAGGAGGTAGTAGACAAGTGGGGATTGGTCTCTTCTCCCAAGTAACAGGTAATAGGACAAGAGGAAATGGCCTAAAGTTGTGTCGGGGCTGGGGGAGGGAAGTGTTAGATTACATATTAGGAAAAGTTTCTTCACTGAAAAGGTTATCGAATATTAGAAAGGGCTCCCAGGGAAGTGGTGGAATCATCATCCCTGGAGGTATTTAAAAGACAGGTAGATGTGGTGCTTAGGGAAATGGTTTAGGGGTAGTTTTGGCTGTGTTAGCTTAATGGTTGGACTCGATATTAAACATCCCTTCCAACCAAAATGATTTTGTAATTCTATCTATTGTTCACAATATTCTTCAGTTTATCTTACAAAAAAGCTCATCCCAGAATACAACTAAATCAACCGTGACTAGCTTCTAGCTTTTTTGTGATTTTAATTTTCTGAGCATAGAATTTCACTCATTCCTCATTTTCTCCATCTGCAAAACTCATGCAACCGTATTTTTTATGCCACATACTGTTGCCACAAAATTTTGCTTGTGTGTCAGTGTATTAGCCACTAAATTCATTAGCGTCATGTCCCTTCTAGCTTGGTATGAATCACTCCACAAGAAAGCTGTATGGAGATGATGCCTTTAATGTCTTTCCATGTTTCACTCCCCTATTGTTTTCCAACATTTAGCTTGCTTTTTGTGTCTTTATTTTTCCTCTCATTTTTCTCCACACTTCACCCAGCACACCACTCTCCATTCTTAGCACTTAATTCAATTTCTTTTTCCAACCTCCAACCTTCAGTAACATCCCATTCTCCTCTCTACACTACTTTCCATCCCTGTTTGAACTGAAATTAACTCAATTGATGCAATTCTCCCATTCTGAAAATCAGTGGTACTTTAATTTGGGGGTATTTTTGTATTTACATTATCAAGTCCACATAGGCAAACATACCTTAACATGTGCACGTGGGATAACTTCCCTCAGCAGTAAACAGCTGGCTTGTATATAATACACCATTTATTCCCATACATTAAAGTTGCACATATAATCTTGCTTCTATGACCAGCCCCAGGAAAACAAAACTAGGATTTATGACCAAAGGTGAAGATATGCTTTCCTTCATTGCAAAGTGCAATAGACAGTATTTTCTATTTATAATGCTTCATTTACAGTGAGACCTGAAATACAATCAAACAGGATATTTGATTTCTTTGTACAAAATCAGCTTTTAGGCTGTTGTGATTTGGGCTGGACCAGGCACTGAATGAACAACAGATGCTCTCTTTGTCCTATTTCCCCTTCAGAGAGGAGAGAAAATGACAGAGAGCTTGATTTAGAAGAAAGAAAGAAGAAAGAAACTAAACTACTTTAATGAAATACTAATAATAAAATAATAAAAAGAAAATATAATAGGAAGAAAATAATGAAATATATACAATATATACAAAACTGTATTGAGCTTCCTGGATGATGATCATGTCACCGGCAGGCACCAGGAAAGAACCAGATTGCACACAGTGACAGATGGCAGCTGAACTCAGGAACTGGATTCAGGAAAGTACAGACTGGGATCAAAGACAGACAGAGTCCTCCTCTGACACCAGCCACTGAAGAAAGAGGCTGACCCCTCTGATCCCTCAGCTTTTATACTGAGCATGGTGCAGCTGGGATGAAGTGCCCCGTGGGTCAGTTTTGGGCCACCTGTCCTGTCTGCTCCTCCCTGCAAGTGTGACCCCTCAATGCTTTTCCACTTCTGACGCTCCAACGGGGCACATAACAAAATTAACTGATTTCATTGTTACAGCACTAAGTATAAGCAAGAGCCTCTCTGTGTCCCATTCCTTGGCATCTATAAACATCAGACCTTATCACTGCTAGAAATGGACACTGTCTGAAAAATATGCTGTTAGTTTCAGGGAGTTAGAAAAGGTGTAACTGAAAAGCAAAATTACGAGAAAGAAAACTGGTTCTGTTTTATGAGAAGCCAGGACATAGGCTTTCACATTTAGGTGTATTAAATAAGTATATACATTAGTGAAATAGACATACACACTACCTCTAAAAACAAACTCTCTGCTATTCCTTCACTGGGAAAAAAAATCAATAATCCTTCATTATTCATCATTTTACACCTTTCAATCCATTCCATTGAGTTTACACAACATACCCAGTAGGCAGCAATTATTTCATCATAGCATACAGATGAACATTGTTCCCTCAACTCTTGCAATAATCTCCATCCAACATTGTCAGTGCAGTTTTGGGGGGCTTTGTAGTGAAGGAGGAGTAGACATAGAGAGAGAGAGAGAGAGACGAGTTGTTTGATTCTTTGGTTGGTTGTAGGGTTTTTTTGAAAAAAAATAAAAAATTTCTTCAGCATTCACTTACAAATTTGTCCTTTACATCACTAATGCCCTTTCCTTTAGTAGATAGAGAGGAACTTTCCAAAAGTGTGCTTTATCCACTTACCTGCCTAGCAGCACACCAAGTATTCCCAAACCAAGTCAAGCATTCCTAAAGAATTAACTTTAACACGGGAGGGGAGGACATACTGCAACAACAGATAGTTGGAATTATGTTCAGTTAACCAATACTACTTCAACATCTTTCAGACATGTAATTTTATCTAAGCCAAATCAGAGCAACTATTTCTGCTTAATTCGATATGATATTTGCAGACAATGCAAAACTGGGAGGATGAGCTGACGGAACAGAGGGCTGCGCTGACGTCCAGAGGCACCTTGGCAGACTGAATAAACAGGCTGACAGGAACCTTCACATAGCTCAACAAGGGCAAGTGCAAGGTCCTGTACCCGGCAAGGAACAACCCCAGGCACACATGGTACACGCTGGGGGCCAGCTCACTGGAAAGCAGCTTTATAGAAAAGGCCTTTGGGAGTTTTGGGCAACACAAAGTTGAACTCAAGTCAGCAATGTACCTGCATAACAAAGGTGGCTAACAGTGTCCTGCTGCCAGCAGGTCAAGAGAGGTCATCCTCCCCTTTTATTTTATGTTGAGGCTAAACCGGCAGTGCTATGCCCAGCTCTGGTCTCCCCAGTACAAGAGAGATACGGAGCTACTTGGAAGAGAGTTGAGCAAAAGGCCACTAAGCTGATGAAGGAACTGGAGCATCTCTCTCATGAAGGAAGGCAGAGAGAGCTGGAACAGTTCAGCCTAGAGAAGTGAAGGCTCCTATTCATGACTATGAACATCTGATGGGACGGAGTGAAGAAGAGGGAAACAGGCTTTTATCAGTGGTGTCTACTGACAAGACCAATGGCAATGGGCACAAACTGAAACACAGAGGTTCCTCCTGAACATCAGGAAGCAATTTTTCACTGTGAGGGTGGTCAAATACTGGAAGAGGTAGCTCGGATTGATTAAGGGGCCAATCAGACACAGTGCTGATCAGCCTGCTCTAGCTGACCCTCCTTGACCAGTGGGGCTGGGCTACATATTCTCAAAAGGTCCCTTCCAAGCTCAGCGAGTCTGTGACTGTGATCTTATCCTTGTATAGATATAAAGAAAAAAGAGCCAGACTTTTCCCAGTGATGCCCAGTGACAGTATAAATGGCAATGGCCACAAACCAAAATATATTAAATTCTGCTTAAACACATTTAAAAAAAAAAAATTAGCAGGAAGGTGATCAAGTACTGGTCTGGGTTGCCAAGAGCAGGCTGTGGAGTGTCCGTCCTTGGAGATACTCAAAAGCCAGTTCAACTGTCTGAGCAATCCATTGCAGTTGAGCCTGCTTTGTGCAGGGAGATTGGACCAGACCCTCTTCATAGTCCCTTCCAACTTCCACAGCTCTCTTATTCTGAGCTATTCCTACCTACTGCTGTTAAGTTACACACCGCAGCTGCACAGCTAAATACACAAAGCCAAAGTTACAGTTACAAATTAATTGTAATTCTGCCAACTCATACATGTGCACAGTACCAGATGTCACCTACATCACCTTCCACTACATCACAGATGAAGCCAGCTCATTTCCAAAAACATTTATATAAATTGATTTACCAACTAGTTTAATCAGTTTCTGTGTAAATATATTAAATGAAATCATTCATATAGAAAGTAAC